TGACTCACAGAATGATATCAACCCATTGTGAGATGCTCCACCCAGGGGGAGGAGCCAAGTGCTCCCACCTGGATATAAACTGGGGTTCAGGACAGCACAGGGGGCCTTAGCCCCTGGATTTCCAGAGGACAAGAGCTACCAGATCTTTTCTATGAGACCACTGTTTCATCTGGACTGCTACCATCACCCTAACTACAGAGTACCAGTTTGTATTCTGACTCTGGCTGGGGTTTTCCTTTGTATTATTGCTTTTTTTTTTTTTCCCCCCTATTAAATTGTATTTCTGACTTGGAGTCTCTCACTGGTTTGTTTACAAACCATTACATGTCTACATTGGTAAATTTTTGGTGTGAAAGAAACAGACGAACATACTGGAATACCGAAGCCCCTGTACTTACACAAGGTCCAGTTCAATGGTTCTATTTTGGGCTAAATGTTGTTCAGGCTCCACAACAGAACACCTGGGCTGCATCAAAAGAAGTGTGGCCAGCAGGTTGAGGGAGGTGATTCTCCCCCTCTACTCCCCTCTTATGAGACCTCACCTGGAGTTACTGCATCCAGCTCTGGAGCCCCCAACACAAGTGGGACATGGATCTGTTGGAGTGGGTCCAGAGGATGGCCATGAAGATGATCAGGGGGCTGGAACAACTCTCCTATGAGGACAGGCTGAGAGAGTTGGGTTTGTTCAGCCTGGAGAAGTCTCCAGGGAGACCTTACTGCAGCCTTCCAGTATCTGAACATAGCCTATGAGAAAGCTGGGGAGGGACTTTTTACAAGGGCTTGTAGTGACAGGATGAGGGGTAATGGCTTCAAACTGGAAGAGGGTAGATTTAATTAGAAAAGAGAAAGTTCTTTACCATGGGGGTGGTGAGACACTGGAAATGGTTGCCCAGGGAAGTTGTGGATGCTCTGTCACTGCAATTGTTCAAGACCAGGCTGGATGAGACCTTGGGCAATCTGGTCAAGTTGGAGGTGTCCCTGCCCCTGGGAAGGGGGTTGGAACTAGATGATCTTTAAGCTCCCTTCCAATCCAAACCATTCTATGATTCCATGTATAAGGCTTGAAGCTGTCCAAATGATCAACCTCTTATTTGGATCTCTGTTCCTCCATTTGGACAAAGAGTGTGTTTGGCATGCAGCTGGAGCTCACTTTCTGGTTTCATTTTCTCCAAAAGGAATCTAGATCTGAACCCGTGGCTGCAAGGCATGACTGCAGACTGAAAGAAAGGAAAGTGTTAATAGTTTTTCGGTTTGTTCCCTTAAGTTTTTATCATGGGCAGAAGCTCTGCAAGAGAAAACAAAGGAGATTTGTGCTATCAGCTGGGTGTAAGAGGTCGGATCATCAGCTGACAGGTACTGGCACTAAGAGAGGCGTTAATGGAGTTTTAATGAGTGAGCTGGGGAAATAAACACACATCTACCTGGCTTCTGAACTGCCTTATGATAGGAATGTAATTTTAAGCCATCTCATTCTGAAATTCCTGAAAATTTGCATGTTCTCATTGAGGATAATATTAGTTGTCAAAGTTTTAATGAATTAAAAGTAACAGGATTTCACAGAAAAAAAAAAAATTGCATTTTCCCCCTTCAAATTCCCAATTATCTATCATCTGTGCTGAAAAAATCAACTGGCCATGAACTTAAAACCCCTTTTGTTAGAAACAGGATCAGAGATCTGTCATTAGTATTAGCAAAGTGCTGCAAGTCTTATCAGAAAAGCATGGTAGCAATAGCAGTACTTAGCAAGATGAGAGATGGCTAACACATCAGTCTTTTCCTTAAACTCAGGTCAGTGCACAAAGATAATCTTCCTTTTTAAACGCAGGGGCACAGATATTTTGCTTATATAGATTATATTTATGGTGCGAGTATTGCACTCATACAAAACTCTCTGAATTCAACTGTCCATGCACACAATCCTGCAAAACAGCTGCTAGGATTAAGAGAATGAATTACAAATAAATGCCCACTGAAATAAGAAAGATGTTTACCATATAAATGCTCTAATGGCTAACCTGACTTCTCCCTAGTAGAACGTTTCTACTATAGGAATTTAACCCACAGACACACATAATTAGCTCTTTCACCTTAAAGTTGCTGAAAGAATGATTTGGTTAAGAAGATTAGTCCTTTTAGTGTTCAACAGAAGTACTGACAAATGAGCCTAAAATGATTATAGGGGGCTCTTTTAACACCATCTTCTGATCTTTTATTTTAAAATAGCATGTCTTTCAGTCAAAAAGCTTTTAATCTGACCTTTTGTGTTTTTACAAATCAATACTTTCTGTATTCAAATCCTGTATGTGATGAATGAGATGGTTTTGAAGGCTGTTTTGAGCCACATCAAAACTGACCACAATAGTCTCTTTAAATAGAACTTTGGTGCTAATTTATTTCTTCTGGTCATCTGGACGCAGCTTCCTGTCTGCACTGGAGCACTTTACCATGTCAGTGCTAGGGCAACTCTTTTTGAGCTGTGCTGTACCAAAATGACTTGAATTAAAAATAGTTTTCCAGCAGAGGAGTATTTTTAAAGGCAGGTGGAAGACAGAAGAGCACAGACAGGAACAAAGCTGCTTCCAATGGGTCATGGCAGAGAAATGGGTTTTTCATCAGTTTAGCTGTGTACCATAAACTCGAGGTGAGGAGTAAGCACTATAGCAGAGCAAACACCCTAAGCTGCCCACAGTAGGTAGGTATTGTATCTATTGTTTGCATGATAGTCCATTTTCCCATATAAAAGCTAAGGGTCAAATTTTGAATTACTTATACAGGCTTACAGAGTAATCCTCTTATTTCAGGCAGTGAATTATGTGGACCCTTAACTGCTACATGGTTTTATCCAAGCATTCAAATCAGGTGACTTCAATTTCTATTCCTCCTATTCCTATAATTCTAGGTCTATTTATCAGCCTTGGGAGATTTATCTTACTCAGTTGTTAGTAACAACTGATGGACTGATGACATAAACAGAACTCAACTTATTAGTTCTTGCTCAGTAAAAATGAGTGGATTTTATCATTTCAGTTTTAAGTCACACTGCCATCTACAGATTGAATAAACTCTTGCAATACTCTGTTTAGGATACCAGGGTAATTTAGGTTTGAAGAGGTCATTGGTCTCTAGTCCAACAAAACAGGGTTGCCTCTGAGCTCAGACCAGGTTGCTCAGACCTTTATTCTATCGGGTCTTAGAAACCTCCTCAGATGGAGACTGCACAGCCTCTGGTCAGCCTGCTCCACTGCCCGACTCTCTGCACAGGGAAAAAGTATTTCCTTTTAACCAACCTCTCTCTCTCATTTCCATTCACGCTCATTGTCTTTTGTTCTCCTGCAGGGCCTTGCTGTGAGGTGCCTGGCTCCATCTTCTCGCTAACCTCTCCATAGGTACCAGAGAGCTGCTGTTGGTTCCCCTCCAAGCTGTCTCTTCTCCAGGTGGAAGAAGCCCTGTTCTTTCAGCCACTCCTGAGATGGCAAATGCTCCAGTCCCCAAATAGCTTGGAGGCCCTTCACTGAACTTGCTCCAGTGCTTTATCTCTTTCTTGTGCTGGTGGTCAAAACTGGATGTACAGTTAAATGTGGTCTAACAAGTGCTGAAAAATGAAACATGGATCCTCTCCTTATCTACTGGCCGTGTCCCTGCTAAGACATGCCAGGAGGCTGCTGGTCACCCTTGCTGCCAAGGCACTCGGCTGGCCCATGTTCAGCTGCCCACTGGGCCCCCAGGGCCATGCCCAGAGAGCTGCTCCACAGCCTGGGCTGCTGCAGGGGTGCACCCTTCCCGGGGGCAGCACTCTGTCCTTGCTGAATGTCATTGGGTTCCTGTTCCTCCAGCATGTCTAGGCTAGCCCAAATTGCAGCCTGATCCTCCAGAATATCCATTTGTTACTATCATTGGGTGTCATCTGCAGATTTGATGAGAGTGAACTCCATCCTTCCTCCAGGCCACTGACAAAGACATCAGACAGAATGGGGCCCAGGAGAGAACCCCGTGGTGCTCACTCCAGGCAGGGTATAACCCACTAACTCTTCGATCCTCATCATTCAATCTCTTTTTTACCCATCTGGTTGTGCACCCATCCAGACCATAATGTAACTTGGTTCCATGAATAGTGTAGGAAAGTGTCAAATGCCTTACTAAAGTCAAGGTAAATGATATTTTCTGCTCCCTCCTTTTCCACAAATCCACTCATTTTATTACAGTTAACTGCTTTTTTTTTAATTTTATTTTGGAAAAAAATATAAAAGTTTTTTTTCCAGGAATGGTTTCATTAACATTTTTATGTTACCACAGGGATTCACAATAACAGGAATAGAGTCTGCATCCTATAACTAATAAAACAGGGGTTGGATTTTATTATAAATGGTTTTGCAGTTATGTTAATTACCTTGTCTTGATGAGCTCACTTGAATAGGCACTAACAGCTATGCACTATTTAACCCTGGAACCCTTAGCAGCCATTTAAGTTGGAGGACTCATCAAATGTCTGATAAAGTATCAGATGAGTTGCCACTGTCAGCTCAGGACCTCTTAACACAGTGTCTGAACACAATGGAAACACAATATATTTAGTGAACCTGAGTACAGCAAGAGTTATCTAACGTAGGCTGCAAACTTGTAACATTGCTTTGAGCAGCATTTAGTTTAAACCATTTTAAAAAAAAAAATAAATTATGAAATAAAAGATACAATTTTCCAGGATTTAACTTTGCAAGTCAGGGGTCTATTTGTGCTTGCAGCCCATAGTTTCTTTAAGTTCTGTTAGACCTGGCTGGCATAACACATAGTTTTACTTCAGTGGACCCCAGGGTTTGCATTTAAGGTTCAGAATGTTTTTGGAACATTCCAAAGGATTTTGGTGTTTTATTTCCTAATTCATATGAATCTGAATATACGATTTTTTACTGTTCCTGGCTTGTACTTGTTATTCTCCCTCATTTCTGTGGCGTTACATGCATCACCATTGTATAATATTCTGCAATCTTTCATTAACTTGAATCTTAAAAGTCACATTTCATTATTTCTCTCAGACAGACTGTAGCATAACATGAAGGATCAAGGTCAAATGATACATGAAGAGACACTTTTGATTCATTCAGATGGTTGTCTTCAATTTCGATTCCTTTTTCAATACCTTCCAAAAAATACGACAGATTCTGAACATTTTTCAAAAGGGGTCTATAACATCCAGGTATATTCAGCTGTAATGGAGCCACTCTGAATTTGCACATCTGCAGCTCATCCTTAGAAAGCCTTTCGTGGTACCATTGCCCAACTTTATTACTGGGATACTTGATACTATGTCCCACCATCGGAAGAACCACCTTCAAAGAAAAACGCAAAGCAACAAACACATGTGAAATAAAGCCCACCAGTTCCTCTTTAAATAATCATGATCACAATTTTAAATGTGGCTAGATCTTGTGTCTTTGGCGCCTGGAACAGTAAAACAATAGCTTCTCTTGTGAAATGTGAAAGGCTGGTATCTTGCATGAAATTAAAGTAGAAAAAATAAACAATGTATCAGGATTCCTACAACGGGCTAGAAATGTACTAATGAGAATTTCCTTGCTTGTTGGGAAAGATGCAGCAATAAAGACATTAAGTTGCCTACAGAAGACTTAAGACTCCACAACTATGCCTCTAAACCTTCAAAAATTAGAACATCAGCTGCTCTGCAATGTTTTTCCCAGTAGACTGAAAAAAAGGTCAAAGTATTTACATTCAGCTTCAAGGTAAGTATTGCTACGCTGCAAATGACACTGTGCTCATTTCCATTACAAAGTAAATATTCTTTCCTGCTGTGTGCTATGAGAATGGACGGTGGATCACACGTATTTAATGTGCATTCAGGCAAGGAGGAGGACTGCACCACTTAACTTAATCACCTTATTTGTAAAACACAACATTTTAATCAAAGAGATCAACAACTCAGATGTTTTCACACAGACTTACTTGGTTTAGAGAGTATTTGTTCGCTGACTCTTCTGGAGCAGTAACTACATAATCCTGACAAGCCATTCAGAAGAAAAAAAAATATTAAATATATATATATACACACTTCACTTTAGGAATTATGTACTGTATTCCCAAACTCATAAAGGATTCTAAGGTTATTTGATTACTACAAGGACAATAAACAATTTCAGGCATGAAAAATAGTAGAGATGCTTAATATAAAGTAATCTGTTTACTGGTAAATGGCATTGCATTAAATATTTACTGATGCTAAGCTACTACTCATTAGCAAATTATCACCCCAAACTCATCTTGTTTGAGTTTGAAGTTAACCGTGCCAATGCAATCTTGTGCTATAACAGCAAAAGCAAAAATACTAAGAAAAATGTTTTCTATCAGATAGGAATATATCTGTATTAAACTCTATAACTCACTACTGAATTTGATACTCCTGCTTTTCATTTTATTTGATCTACTTGTTTTATTAACATTCACTCTCAAAAATATTGTCAAAGAAAAATCACAATGGAAACTGAAGCCACTCTACAGGGACTGGAGATTATTTAGTAACCTTTCATGCGCTCTTGCTTTCACATTTGTAAGATGTTCATCCAAAATAAATGAGATACATTCTGCCTGTGCACACACCTATTACCCAGTGAAACACTGCAAAATTCCGTGCCTCGCCTGATGATCAGGAGGAAGACAGAAACCTAGAATTAGCTAGGTTGGCAAAGACCCTCCAGACCATTGAGTCCAGCCCTAAACCTAACACTGCATAGTCCATCACTAAACCATGTCCCTAAGTGGTCCCACCGCTTCCCTGGGCAGCCTGTTCCTGTGCTTTACAACCCTTTCGCTGAATACATTTTTCCTAATAGCCAATCTAAACCTCCTCTGGCACAACTTGAGGACATTTCTTCTTGTCCTACCACTTGCTACTTGGTAGAAGACCCAACCGCTTCTACAATAAGAAAAATGTATGCTAAGACTGAAAGAAGAGATGGGTCCAGAACTGACTTCGGCAAGCCAAGAGCTGGGACCAGTCACTCCACTGCTAGCTTCTGCTCACTGGCTTGCCCAAGGCCTGAGACACAGCACCCAGGCTGTGCTGCGGGCAAGCAGAAGCACTCCCTTACCCTCTACTACTTCCCCAAGAGGACTGCTGCATGTTCTGAACAGCTGCTAACAGTTCAGACACACCATCAGCCTGTTCTAATTGCCTGAGTAAGTGAAACTGTGCTAAATGTGCTCTGACTGTGCAGCTGCAATGAGGTTACCAGTTCAGCTTCAGGCCACCTTTCACCATGGGCTTACATGCAGTAATATGTATAAGGGGAAGGTGAGACCTGGAGAGCAAGTCTCAGATCTGCACTGATAACACAGGCACACCCAGAGTCCACTTCCAACGTCCTCTCCAGTCAGATCCTAAGAATATTACCTATCATGCAGGCTGAATTCTTACATGTATCAATTCTGATATTCCATTCCTTCTTCTCACTTGATGACTTAAATGAACAGCCAGAAGAGATAAAAGCTACTAATATACAGCTAGCTTATATACCTACTCATGGTAAATAAAAAAAAAAAAAAAGCTACATCACTCTTTTCACCTTTGCCACTAATATTAAATATTTTAAAGAATGAATCAAAATAAAACTAATATTAGAGTATGGCTGAGTAGGTATTCAAGTGCATTAAGCTCTCTTTTTCTACAAGAACTATTTGGTGAGGACTCACCTTGTCATTCAGAGAAGCTCTTTCATCATTTTCTTCCGGGAAGACGAGATCACCCTCAACAACTTTTGAACCGTAAACCTCCAGCCTGTAGGAAGCTGCTTCGTTCCAGACCTTGCTGCAGTAGGCGTGGACGTAGAAGACGCGCATGGCGTGGGGGATGCTGAGCCAGCCCTTGGCACAGCCTGCCGCGCTTACGCCGTAGCGATTTAAAGCTCGGAGCAGCATCTTCTCTCTCACCTTAAATTCTGGCAGCATTACCAGTGTGCCCTTTGCATCTTCTGATATAAAACAAAATAACCCTATAAGTCATCCCTGAGTTGTCAAATATTAATCTTCACGCTGATTTTTAGGTTATAATTCCGTTTCCTTCAATATGTCACATTAGACAAATTCCATCTTACATGCCTATCAACACAGTTCCATGAATCCTATTCTACTTCATACAGTATAAACTAGAGCAGCTGTCATTCAGTTATTCAGTCTAGTTTGCTTAGCCTTTTTTTTTTTTATATAAAACTTACTCCATCAGTCCAAAGTTTTTTGGTTTTTTTTAGATTAAGTAATTGAAAGCAAAAACCAAGCTATAAAAGAACATTGAACCTCTACTTCACATCATTTGAGAACGTGTATTTCACAGGGCATAAAAAACATGTCTTTATTTTAAAGGTACAAATTGCATTGGCTACTGGGAATCCTGAGCCTCAACCAAGACGAAAATACACTTAATCAGATTTGTACTACATTAGATAAATGTTGTATATTTAAAATTTCATGGTTTACATATTTTCTCATTCCAAGTAATTATATGACAAAGGTTTTTGCATAGCCTTTTACCTTTTGCTTTCAGGAAAAGGCAAGCAGCTGTTTCCAGGGTCCACATCAGTGTCTTTCCATGCATCATAGAGCAATGTATAGCACAGAATGATTAATTCTCTCTTTTTTTTGTGACTTTAAACATTTGTGTGTCTCTTGAAGCTACATATCATAGTTGTTCTGTCATTCTACAGTGATAAGCAGGTTAATGGATTTGGAATATTAGAAAAGAAAAAATACATCTGAAGTCAAGAGCAAGTTTTGGAGAAGAAGTTCAGCTGAACGATAAAAGCAACCAATATAACAAAATGCATTTTAGTCAGCACACTTCAGCTTTTTTCATATTTTGTTGATTTTAATTCAAGATAGAAAGAAGGTAGATCACAGGAGAGCATGGAAGACATCTTTTATTAAAGAGATGTAAAAGCAAAGCCCAAAGGCACACAAAAGGAGAGCTAAGATTGTTACAGAAATCTCAGAAAGTTAGATGCCCACATGTGTTAAGTGCTGAGTGTGAGCTGGCTGCCTCATCCCAGTATACTTCCTTTATTAGGGAGGAGAAATTTATATTCCAAAAGCAGACAGACGGAAGAAGGTTAAAACTGCTTTGATAAAATTATCTTAGCCTTTTCCAGGAAAGTGTTTGTTTCTATACTGTCTTGCGCCTGAAGTACATTCATTTTGCACTGTTTTGCACATTTAGGGACTCATCCTCATAAAATTTTTAACTATTCAGTTCCAATGAGTTCCATGGAATAAGCTGCAAGTGGTACTAAGCAGCAGCAAAACAAAGAGCATCTCTCTGAGCACCAACACCTTATTCTCTCACAATACTGACCTTGAATAAATATATAAGACAGTTCAACAAGACATACCAGTTTGAAGAAAGTATCTTTTTGCGTTGTTTACAGGGTCATCAGTGTCTTCAGGTGTGAAGAATAACTTCACAGCTTTCACCTTTAAAGAACAATATTAATGTTTTATATTGTTTTGCATTTAAGTAGAACTGTATGTCAACTAAACAGACAATCATGTTATCTGATTCTGTATTAACATATCCTGCAAGCTCTCAAATTTGTATCAGTTCTTTAAAGACAAAGTCAAATCTTCCTTTTCACAGAAGATGCCATGAACAGCAAGCCAATGTGGCCATGTTCCTTTTCAGACTGAGGAAAGGTTTTAGTCACACAGAAGATGGCTTTAATATGAGACATCAGTCACTCTTCTTGAACATCCAGTCAGAACTCTTCCACTTTGCAATGCCATCATTCTATCCTGAACAGGAAAGTTCCTTCTCACCCTCCTGCATGTTTCATCCACAATTTAGACTGAACACCTTCCACAGTTCCACACCAAGGGACAACAATCTTTTCCTTCTCACCTGATCTGTACTGGATTAGATGACGCTGTGACAGGGAAAACACTAGCACTAATCTCTGCTACTTGCAACACCAGCCAAGCCTCACAATTTGCTAGCACTTACAGCAACTTGTAATACCTGGTTCTTGTCGTCCTCTCTATTGGACTGTGCAAGCACTTACTGGCACTTTTTTAATAAAAACAGCAGTTCCTATGAGTTTTATATTAAAAAGTCACTGAGCTAAGACCAGAGATTTAAATAACTACTCTTCAGGGACTGGCACCTGGTACTAACTGCCAGCATACTAGGATTCAAAATGTCAGATACATCAACAGTAACTTTCATGGGCTGCCCTCAAATCTTGCTGCTTCTTATATCTGGATGAGAAGCTAAGTTTTCCTGGCTTTTCTCAGAATCAAAACAAGATTAGAAGAAAAGGATACTCAAGTATGCATTTGATTTTTCAGTGTTGTGATTCTGTTTTAGACCCATGCCAACTACTATACCACATACATCAAAAAGTATATGACTCTTATCTTATGAATTATTATTCAAGAAATAAGCTCTCTGTAGCTTACATAGGAGCAATTGCTCAGAACTAAGAGTTTGGGAAAGTAGCCAAGGAATAATGGAAAACAGCAATCTCTTCTGTATAGCAGAAAAAATGGCTGTGATATTGAAAATGCAAATCCTTTCGTATGATCCTGTGTAATATCTTGTGACATTTTAAAGAATTATATAGACCTCCAGCAGGATAAAGTGGCTAAAGGACCATGAATAAACATTGTATAAAGATTGCTTCATTTTAGTGTTCAAACCTTGTATGGAATGCAGCCACCATCCTGCCAAGTGGCATGATGACATACCAATTCTAGACAGAAAAATCACTTTCTGAACTACGCAAAGCTGCATCTGCTGTTTAAAATAGATATTTTGTTTCACTATGAAGATATCTGTGCTTACGTTGTTGTCCAAAATGATCTGGAAACTACTTCCAGCACACACATGGGTTTATCTCACAAATGATGGTAAGGTCAATGCAAGTTCTAGACATTGCAATAGTAATATGAAATTAACTCAACAGTAACTATTTAAATTACAAAATGAAAATACCATTTTTTCATTCAGTAAGGCCAATCCTATTTGATCTGTTTGAACACTCTGTCCTTGTCCAAATCGCTGAGGTCCATAGTAATTTACAAAACCTTTTGTCTAGAATGATAAAGAATAAGTATGTTAAAGGCATGAAAGCACCAGGTAAGATTAGTACAACTATGCCTACAAGACATACAATCTACATTTACATCCCAAATGCACACAAATGGCTTTTTTAATCTGAAATAATACGTAACAAAATTGTAACTCATGATTAATTACAATATTTTAGTACTTAATTTAGAAAGACCTAAATAGACAATCAAGTTCTATCATTGTCTTTGCTTTCACACAAAAAAAAAAAAAAGTAAATGAAACAAAATTATTTCTGTGCATTTAATTATATAAATACAACTAAAGGTGAAAATAATTGAGCTTTTTACATACATCAAATTATGAAATCTCTGCTCAAGGAAATAGGGAAAGTGGCATAGCACAGGTAATAAACAGTAACCACTGTTGGACATTTTTCCTTAAAAGTACTAGTCTTTTTTCACATAAGATCACTTGTATTATTAGTAGAATAGTAAAGAGCATTTCTGCTAATTGGGATTTTAAGTCTCCTTGATGAGTTCTAGGTCATATGTAGGCAGTAAAATCACAGCCAAGTGACCCAATAAGAACAACCTTCTCTAGAAAATAATAACTGTGTATGGAATGAAAAAGCAAAAAAAAAAAATCACAGTATTCATTTTGGAAATGGTTATTCACTTCTAATTATACAACCTTGCTTTGGACATCAATAGGTCCAGCAAAACAAAATAAAGTCAAACACAGCAAAGAGAGAGAGAAAAGCATTAAAATACCAGTTGAATGCTTTTTTCCCCCAGTAGAATTAATTTTGAAAACACACGTAATGTATTTCGCTTTTCTACACTGCATAGTTTTCATTGAAGTTTTTATTCCTGGATTAATCTCCAAGTAGCTTGTATTATAGTTATTACTTAGAAAGATAGGGCAAGAAAAGCACTGTTGTACAAGATTATCTAAAGTTTCTCCTTTCCACGATTTGCATTTACTTTTCACAGTGGTTTAAGAATGCCTGATGATGGAGTCTTCTTCAGGGATTAAGGATAACAGACATCAAATCCACTCAATTTCAGGGGATCTTCCTTCTCTGCTATGGACATTTCACACGAATTTATGCCATCAGAGTTTTCCACCTGAGCCAACCATGCACGTCTATCACACGACCACAAAAGGCCACAAAAGTTGATACATGTATTCTTTCACCTGTCAGCTGGCACAGTGAAACCTGGGCTGGCCTGAGGTCTGTGCAGCAATAGCTCAAGGACCCATACTCATGTGCTACCAAATCTCCCATCTACCTCGCTGCACCACTCTGGGGTCTGCAGTCTGCAAAAGAACGAACTCACTTACAGTCCCTCCTTGGAAGGCAGCTTTACTCCTGATTCCTTACATAATGTAACAAAGACATAAAATAGCTAAAAGCATCAAAGCTGGGAAACAGTACAATTATTGTGCTATTACAGGTACTTACATTAAAAGTACTTTTTTTTTTAACCATGAGGCTCTCTTACCTTAACATTTTCCATTGCTTCAGATATTCTCTCTTTCAAATCTGCAGAAGTGTCATGACTGTGGGGTTTGAGATCTCTCACAATTATATCAAAGTGATTGCCTTTAAGCTGACCAAGTCTAAGGTGCTGGCATGCTGGATGTATGTTGTGTATCCTCATGCCCTTTTTTTCCATTTTGCTTCCAATTTCTTTCAACCTGCATAAAATTTAGGAGAAATTATGAATCATCCTCTTCTAAAGCTATTCATCTTCTAGCAAGTGCCTTCTTCACCTTTGCACTAGACTGAAAAATATTTTTAAAAAAAGGGATTTAAAATAGATTATTATGAGAAAACCAAATCAAATGCAGAGATAGACATCTTAAAATTTAATTGTAGTCCAGAAATACTTTTAAACTGTTTGCTTCATTTGCAGTTCATTGAATTTTCTAAAGGCAATTGTTCTGCATTTTTTATTGAAAAACAAGTAGTTCACTCTTCAGTCCTAAAAATCTGCTTTTCATTAACAAAAAGAAAAAGAAAAAGTGATGTGCTTTAGCAGACTCTGAAACACAATTGCTCTTTCTTGGTCAGCCTTAACAAAACCAAACTCAGTGCGGGGATTCTCTGGGTGTGCTTGCACAAGCCTGTAATTGGAAACACAGCTGACAGTTCAAGTTTTATAAGCTCAGTCTCTTTGTTCTCATGTGTAAGTAATGCTCATTCAAATCAAAGGAAAGTTGTAGCATAAAAAGCTTATGTCCTAAGCAATACTTTAATAACTTTATAAATTATTGATTTATTAAAGAAAATTTATTTCCCCTGTCATGCTAGCAGCTTGGAAGCATTTAACTATTTTGCTTAATCATTTAAACATCAATGCAAAGTTTTGCTAATTATCTCTTGAACAACTGGCCTTACAGCCCAGTTTGCAGTGTTTTCATGTTAATAAAAAATCCTAAAAACATAAATTCTACTTTCCTTTATTTGTAAAGTGTACTTTGTTGCTAATACCAGAACCCACTGGGAAGTTAAAGCTGAGGAAGAAATAAGTTATGGATTTGAGTCCAGAATTTTTACTATTATCATGGCAGAACTCAATATAAATTTTTTACCCACTGTATTGGCTCCAACGAGTAACAAAAACAAGGAAGAGAAAGGCACTACTTGTATTTCTGACATGTTATTCAGAATGTATTTTCTGCCCACAGGTTTGGTGATACCTTCTTTACTTAGCCTCATGTTTCTAAACTGGACAATACCACAGAAGGTGATACCTCACACTCACAGACAGCATCTGTCCAAAGTATATTTGTAATAATTTACTTTAGTTCCGTGGCTATATAAAGCTTTTAAGTTGTTGTCTGTGGACTACAGACAATACTTTGATAGTATGTGGAAACCTGTTGTGTAGCACAGGTTTCTCCTCAGCTCCAGCTTGTGGATAGTATTTAAGAAACTGTAAAGTGGATCCCATGAGCTGGAAGGACATTGACCCACAAGGCACGGTATATTTGTAACACAAAAATTACAGAGAAAGGTGAGGCTTTTCTTTCAATTCCAACACCCGGGGAACTTCAGTGCTAAGATGTATACTCCCTAAAGCCACAAAATACTAAATCTGTTTCCACTGTGCCGTACTACAGGACAAGGGAAGACACATCAATAACATTTCAGGAGATCGTACTGCATTGATACTTATTAACACACAAAACCATCTGCTAAACAGAATGCACTCAGCCTGTAAAGTACCTCTCAGGAGTCACCTTCCTCACGACCATAGGCTGGTAAGTAATAGCCTTCTTGTCTTTGATGCCAGTGTAACTGAAGTCTGAAGGAAGAACACCAAGTTCGGCAGCCAAGATCCCGATTGCTTCCAGAGTTTCTAGATTTTCTTTCTGAAGGGTGAAAGCTGAAACAATCATCTCAGAATTATTAGGAATTTGCACTTCTAGATTATACAGGTGTGCTGCCAAGACAGATGGGCAGGCCCTTCCCTTCAAACTGTTACAGCATGGAAACTGCAAAGAAACAGTAGTCCCACCCCACAAGACTAAAGGAAATGGGACTTTTCAGTACTGAAAGAGAAAAATAAGGACACGGTATAAAAAGCTCTTGGAAGTAGCAGAAAACCCTACTGCCTTTTAAAATAGTACCTGATAAAATGCAACACAATTCAATGAACATGTGTTGACTTATTGCTAGAAACTTCCTATGTATCAGGAAACAACGGCTTTAAGGAATGACATTATAAAACAAATCTGACCTTACTAACCTGTCCAACATCTAGAGCATCTTCTGCTTTCAAGGGAAAATGAGCAGAGGAAATAACAGAACGGGTGCTACAACTAAATGGACTGTAACCATTGGCTACGGTTTAATTAAAACTGTAACCGATTGGTTACAGTTTAATAAACATTGAATTGTTGTTTATGTTAAATCACTGCAGCAACTGGATTCACTCATCTCATTCTCCAGGGATGGAACTACACTGCACTAATAATGACTTATTTTAGCATAAACAACTGGTCAAACAGGTCTATAGATCCTATAAATATTACTCCAGGTTTCAGTCCTAATAATGAACACTGTAAATACCTGATACTTTCACTAAAAAATATTTACCTGTATAAATATCTTGTTTTTCCTTTAAACCACTGGCAGACCTTTTTCTCGACCAGCTTTTTTCTCGAAACCGTACCATTATTGACATATTTGGCTGATCATTGACATCTGCCACAGTAAAAGACTTTGTTTCTAAAAGTTTTCCAAATTTTCTATTGATAAAGTGGTGAACTACTTTTCTGTGCTCTTTGTTTCCATCAGGTTCAAAAGAAAACGTAGAATTTTCTAGCTTTGAATCTAAAAATTTAAAGAAATCACTTGTTTCCTTTTCAGTCACTAAGCGACAAAGTTCCCTATAATCAGCATTTCCTTTCACAATCATTTCATTGTCTTTTGTAACAGTGACTAGAAAGGGGAATTTCTGCCTAACAGCACTGTGTAAATCAGCTCGATCTTTCTTCTCCAGCACAGGTCCCAGCGAGAACTCCCCAGCACCAGCATCGGCGTTATTTTCCGAGTCCCACGCATCCTTCAGATCAGAAGCAAATTTATTAAGCAGTTCACTGGTGCGTTTGCCTAGTAAGGAATCCAAGGTGCTGGCTTCCCCGCGGCCAGATTTCAGCGCAGGTTCGCCCTCACGCTGGTTCCTGTACGGG